AGGCATGGGCAAATACTTCATGACTAAAACAACAAAAGCAATGGCAACAGAAGCCAAAATTGACAAATGGGATCTAATTAAACTAAAGAGTTTCTGCACAGCAAAAGAAACTATCATATATTGAACAGGCAGCCTACAGAGTGGGAGAATATTGCTGCAATCTATCCATCTGACAAAGGGCTAATATCCAGAATCTACAAGGAACTTAAACGAATTTACAACAAAAAACAACCCCATCAAAATGTGGGCAAACAATATGAACAGACACTTCTCAGAAGACATTTATACAGCCAACAAACATAAAAAAACAGCTTATCATCACTGGTCATTAGAGGAATGCAAATCAAAACCACAGTGAGATACCGTCTCATGCCAGTTAGAATGATGATCATTAAAAAGTCAGGAAACAACAGATGCCAGGGAGGATGTGGAGAAATAGGAATACTTTTACACTGGTGGTGGGAGTGTAAATTAGTTCACCCATTGTGGAAGACAGTGTGGTGATTCCTCAAGGATCTAGAACTAGAAATACCATTCGACCCAGCAATCCCATTACTGGGTATCTACCCAAAGGATTACAAATCATTCTACTATAAAGACGCATGCACACATATGTTTATTGCAGCACTGTTCACAATAGCAAAGACTAGGAACCAACCAAAATTCCCATCAACGATAGACTGGATAAAGAAAATGTGGCATACATACACCATGGAATACTATGTAGCCATAAAAAGGATGAGTTTATTTCCTTTGCAGGGATATGGATGAAGCTGGAAACCATCATTCTCAGCAAACTAACAAGGAACAGAAAACCAAACACCACGTGTTCTCACTCATAAGTGGGAGTTGAACAATGAGAACACATGGACACAGGGAGGGGAACATCACATACCATGGCCTATCAGGGGGCTAGGGGCTAGGGGAGAGATAGAATTAGGAGCAACACCTAATGTAGAGGACGGGTTGATGGGTGCATCAACCACCAAGGCACATGTATACCTATGTAACAAACCTGCACGTTCTACACATGTATCCCAGAACTTAAAGTATTAAAAAAAAAAAAGTCAAAAATTGCACATGCTGGCACGTATGCAGAGAAAATGAAACACTTATACTCTCTTGGTGGGAATGCAGATTAGTACAGTCTTTATGGAAAATAGTACGAAGATTTTCAAAGAACTAAAAATAGAACTATTACTCAATTCAGCAATCCCACTACTGGGTATATACCCAAAAGGAAGTAAATCATTGTATCAAAAAGGTATCTGCACTCGTATTTCTAGCACAGCACTGTTTACAATAGCAAAGAATCAACCTAAGTTTCCATCAACGGTAATTGGATGAAGGAAATGTGGCATATATACACCATGAAATACTACTGAGCCATAAAAAAGAATCATGTCTTTTGCAGCAACATGAATGGAACTACGGTCCATTTTCTTAAGCGAAATAACTCAGAAACAAAGTCAAAACATCATGTTCTCACTTGTAAGTGGAAGTTAAACAAAGGATAAACATGGACATCTAGAGTGGAATAATGGGCACTGGAGACTAAAAAAGATGGGGAAGGTGAAGGTTGAAAAGTTACCTATTGGTTCACTATTCAGGCAATGAGTATGCTAAAAGCAGACTTCACCATTAGGCAATACATACATGGAAGAAATCTGCACTTGTACCCCCTTTATCTATAAGAATAAAATACATTTTAAAAAAGAAAAGTGAAAATATAAAATATTTAAAAATTAATAGAGTAGATATTATTGATACAAATTATACATCATACAGGGATTATGCCTTCTTTTTAAACACACATAGACTTTTTAGAGGGAAGTATTTTACTTCAGAATGAAAAATGAACAGCTTCCACACCGTTCACTGCAAAGTACACAGTATTCACAAATACAATACTGGTTATTTGAGGAAATGTAGTCACACCTCAATTTCTCCTTCATGGTGTTTTCGTTTCAAAAGATCTGTTTACCAAGAAGAAACAGTATATTTTTCCAATAAACTTATAAAAATCTAAAATTTCCAAAGGAATCAAGATTGACTTCCCACTACCACCACCTTAATATCGTCACATCCTTATTGGGATGCTAATATTGACATCCACAGCATACACTTACTTTCAACAATGAGGTTGCATCTTAAAAAAACTAGATCTCTGCAAGTATTCAGTGTCTGAAATAGACAGCTAATACAGGATTTAATATTATTTTATAAAAATAGTCTCCTTAGCAGTAAATTAAGTCTGCACATTCACAATAGTCCTAGAAAATAAATACTGTAATTATTACAATATGTCATGACAAACTAGTTTCAAAAAACAAAAGTTTGACATCTTGCTAAAAATTCTGATCAGAATAAAATGAATACACATAGAACTTTTTAAGGAATGAACATTTATTAGGCCATAAAAATCATAATACACTTCAAAACACAAGTTTTGTTTTATTTATTTTATCCACGGTAAAATAAAACTAGTAATAAATACCTATATTATAAAAATTTTAAAATGTTAGGAGCTGAATAAAAATTTTAATCCCTTTTACAACACTCTCAGATAAGAGAAGAAATCTAAACAAAATACTACAAGCAATACATACTGAAACCTGTAGGAGGCAAAAAAGGTGATCAGAGTAAAAATCAAATTTCAAAGAAAAACTGTCAAATAAGAAGGAATAAGAACAAATTAAATATTCAAAATAAGAAATTGTCATCATCAATAAAAGAAACTTGAGGAAATCAGAATTAAGAAACTAGTAAATGAAGTGGGAAATTTCTGAATAGCTACAAAAAAGAGTGAAATGAATAAATTTTAAAAATTGTCATTTTTAAAAGGTTAATTAGATAGGTAAACCATTAACATAAGTTTTTAAATGGCGAGAGATGGAGAAAGCAAAAATATTTAAAATGAGAAATTAAGTTGAGAACCTTAGTGCAGATATTGAGGGGGAACTAAAATTTAAAATGTGTCTTTGCTTAACTTCATGCATATGGATTATAAAAATCTTAAAAAAATGGTTGACATTTCTAGGAAACTTAAATCACCAAAAGTGACTTCAAAAGGGATAGAAAATCTAGGGTATTTCAGAGAAATTATAAAAGTTGTTCAAAAGTTGCAGGCATCTGGCCCAGATTATATTATACCTGAAGCCTACCCAAAATGTCAATGCAATGTTCAGAGAATTTCAATGCTGTTGAAATGATTCTAGCAGAGATCGAAGAAAAACTTTTTTTTTTTGTATGTACCCATCAAAATAATTATATCAAAACCTGACAGGATACTTAATGTGTGTGTCTGTGTGTGTGCGTGTGTGAGTTTGTGTGTGTGTATGTGTATCAGTCATTTTGTGAATACTGATCCAAAATAATATATTAGTCAACAGATTCTAACATTGCTTTAAAAGAATACATCATAACCAAGATAAAAAATTAAGATTATCAGAAAAATTACTAATATAATTTATGTTTCTATTATATCAGAAGAGAAAATTTATATTATTATGCCCAGGAAGTGTATGAAGGTATTTAAGTTCAAAATCCACTGTTGATTTTAAAAGACTCTTGATAAAACAATAATAAATAGATATTTTTAATATCCATCTAATTGACAGCCAAAACCTGCATTGTGCTAAGTGGTGAAACTACTCAAAATATTTTCAACAGGAGAAAGACAATGATATCCACCATTACAATGATTACTTATCGTTGCTTTAGCGGTCATAAATGTGGAATTGGAAAAGAAAAATAATTAAATGCAAAGGTTTGCAGAGAGACATAGAATTATCATTATTTATGTATACAATTAAATTGTACAACTGGAAAACACCACAAACAATAAAATAACATTAATGCACACAAACCAGTTATTTTCCTATGTATAAGTGAAAGTTACATTAAAATATAAAGGAATAAAGGTAGTATTTGTCATAGGAACAAAATGATAAAATGCAATAGGAGTAAATTTAAGAAATGTTCAAGACATATATAAAGGGACTTTAAAAGAATGAGGGATAAAACAAGAATTGAAGAAATATAATTATATACCTTGTTACTGGATAAGAAGACTCAATATTTTGAAGGCAACAAGTCTCCCTGTATTTACCTATACATTAATTTTATCCCAATAAAATTACTTCACAAATGATTTTTAGAGTAGGCAGCAATTTAGAAGCACATAAATTTCTGACATGACATTAATTCTACAAGGTACTACATGCTATATTAATTAAAACACACTTTTACTGGCACATAGAAATGAAACACAATAGACCAAATGAAGAGTTGAGATGTATACCAAAATCCTCATGGTAATGTGGCTTGTTATAAAATAAGTATTTCAAATCCATGCCCAAACAAATTTACTTAATAACTAGTCATGAACAATTGCCCAGTCTTCTGGAAAAATAATGAATTAATTCTTACTCCAGATGGATTTATACCAAGATGAAATCAAATAGGATCAGAGATTTAATCATTACTAGAAGAAATTCTAAAAGTACTGAAAGAAATTATGTGCGAATTTAAAAATTGAGTTTGTAATGAGAGAAGCCTTTCTGAGCATGGCACAAAGCTTAGAAGCCATAAAAGGTGATAAATTTGTCTACATAAAAAGTAAACATTTTCTGCATAGTAATAGAATACTATAAATTCAATGGCATTGACAAAGCAGGAATAATATTTGTAATATGCTATATATAATAAAGGGCTATCTTTCTTATTATACTAAGAGTTCTTATGAATCAATTAGAAAAAATATTTTAAAAACAGTAGGAAAATGAGACGATGACATGAGCAGGCAGTTTATAGAAAAATAAGTTCAAACAACTTTTAATGAATTAAAGTTGAGTAAAATTAAATGAAGATGTTTTCAGCCTTGTCAACCATTAAAGAAATGTTTATCAAAATAACAATAATATATAATTTTAACCTATCAGATTGATATACTAAAACATGCATGCATGTATGATTGTATTTGCATATTATCTCTCCAGGGTGAATCATCTCAGATGTTAACAGTATTTGTCTCTCTGTAAAGTAACCAGGGAACAAGGGTAAGATGAGCATGTACTTTTTACAGCATACTATATTGTACGTTTAACTTTTTAAACTATGTGTGTATCACTTTTATAGAATAAAATAGTATTTTAAAATATAAATTGAAGCCAGAAGAATTAAATAGATTAATTAATGTCACACAACAAACTGCAGATGTTTCATTAAAGTCCAGGACTATATGATTTGAACTAAAGTGCTGTATGATTTGGACAAAAGGCATATCGTTGACATTAATTTGCATTATTATTTCTAAGCTTTTGTCAGAGAATCCAACATGACAAGGATAATGTGTATATGAGCTATCTTGTGAAAAGGATCTGTGGGAACACTTGTTGAGAGGTTGATATTTTTATTCTCTGCACTGTTTTCTATTTTTGAATTTTACTAATAGAGATAGGAAGCAACTTGTGACACCTTCGTTTTTAACAAGCATCTCTGACAGATCCAGGGTTTTAAACAGTCTTCTTTTTAAAGCTCTTTAAAGCCTTTTTTCATCGGTAAAATTAGTGTTCTGTGTGTGAATAAGTGTGTGTAATCATTACTCAAGCTTCAGACTATTAAATTACAAAACCTAAATTGAGAGTAAAAGCATATCTTGTTCTGTTTGGTTGTAGTGAACTAAGGGACTCAAGGAATTTACCTGTGGAACATAAAAAGCACCTCTGTTGAAGCTGAGAATTTACAGAGAATTTACTTTTTTCTTCTTTTTCTCCTTTCTTCTTCTTTTTTCAAATAACAGAATCCACTTACTAAAATTGTGCCTCACAGAGCACTGACCTTTATACTATAATAGCTTCCTCTGGGCCATTACAACTTATAGGGCAATGCCTTCTAATCTTCCAACCTGCAAGTAAAGGTTATAAAGTTTTAGAGCACAAAGTACCTAACTCTTTGCTTGTACATTCACTTTCTCTGCCAAAATCCAAAACCATTAGCCTACTTTAGGGACTTTTAGTATATGAAGTGATATTTTTTAAAAACCAAATTTATCTTTGAGTAGAAAAGGGGATTTTAAAAAGGTATAATATTCTAGGATAATGGTTTGACTGAAACCCTAAAGGCCACCAAATAGGACTTCCTGCTCTGTTGAGGATTCCTGGATTGTTCTGAGTTTGTAGGGAGAGGACTGGAGGACTGGGTTTTGTCTGGTGTAATCTATCTTTCTTTGTGAAAATGTACATCAAAATTTAAGTAATTAAATAGTGAGAATATCACTAATTTTTTTCTTCTGCTTGTATTTTCTAAAGTTTAAGTCAAAAAACATGTTATATTTAAAGTTTAAATACAACTTTTTGTAAAATTTGGAAAATACAAACACAATAAGGATGAAAAACAGACTCACTATATGAATTTTCATGTTTTTCTATCAATATTTTCTGTATAACATATATAAGCACCTAAGTACTTTAAAAACTCCCAATAGCAGAGCCATCGAAAGGGTATAAGATTTTTCTCTCATGTTAAAATCCAGACATAGGGAGTCCAAGACCAGATAGTGGATCTGTTACATAAAGTACTTAGGAAATTGGGTCCCTTCCACCTTTTGGTTCCTCTATGCATGATCAATTCTCACTTAATGATCCAAGAAGGAAACCCTAGCCATCACATTCACTTTCCAGCCAGCAGGGTCAAGGAAAGGGAAAAAAGAACACAGCTCTTCCTTTTAACAAGTAAACACACCACTTCCATTTACTTGCTAATCTCCAGAACATGATCACATGACTACACATTCTTTTGCAATGAGAGCTGGGAAATAATATATATTTTTTTGGATGCCATCGCCAACTAAAAATCCCATCGTATGTTTTCTGCTTGCTAAATCCCATTGCTTCTATTAGTGGTGCACATTCTCATAGTACTGTTAACATGGGAGGTATATTTTTGAGATTTTCTCTTTGTTCTACCCTGATTTATAAAATCGTAAGATGAAGATCAGCCTTAAGATAAAAACTTAGAAATAATGAGAAAAATTTTTAGAAGAATGTAAATCATCCAAATGGACTCAAAATGAAATAGAATATAATAAATTCTAATAAGTTTAATTTTTCATTGTCTATTTATCACCAACTTTCCTATGTTCAAGAAAAGACATTCAGCCCAAACAGGTAAACTCTCTGATTTTAAATAATCTCTATTTTATACACACTGTCTCAGACACCAGAAAAAAAGGACTGTCATTCCACTCACTGTATGAGGCTAATAAAACCTCTATGCCAGAACTTGTGAAAGAGCATAACAAAGTAAAATCAGATTTGGAAGGCAGTTATGAATCTAACTGAAGCTTATAAAATGTCAGAAAAAAATGAAATTTTTACTGAATTTATAGGCTAATTTGGGTGGATTTCTCTTTATATACAAGAAGGTGAGTATTAACAATTTGAATTTTTGAAGTTTTTTCTCTTTCCATTTTTTCTTCTCCGTTGTTTTGGGAGTTAACCATTCTGTATCTATTCATTTAATGGTTACATGTGCTGTTCTAACACAGATGCCTAACAAACCTTAATGTTAATGAGTCCTGTCTCCTATCCTCGCCCAATATTCCATGGTCCATCATTAAAATCACCGACTAGCATAAATCCTGAACCCTCTTGTCCCTCTCTGGTTTTAACAAACATCGACCCTGATAAATCCCAATATTTTTTGTATTCCCCATGTACCTCTGTATAGTTGAATTTGGCTGGAGAAAAATATAGTCATACTGACTGGTCTCATTTTATATTTATGATTGTTAGCTTTAAGAATGTTGTTTGTGCTGCCTGGCAGTCATATGATACTTGTCATAACCATTTTCCTAGGTTACTATTTTATGTTTTCTCCTTTTTTTCCCCAAACCTCCAGCACATCCTTCCTCATCCTCACTCTCAATAATGACTTGCTTCCTATTTCACTGAAAAAATAGAAGCAATCAGAATATACCTTCCCAACTCTCCTAATGCCACTCTACCCACCTCCTTGTATCTAGATTAACCTGTTTTTCTTCCTGTTATGAATGAATAGTTTGTTCTAAGGCCATGCTTTTGCACATCACCTCTTGTCTACTCAAGAACATTTCTCCAACAAATTTTCTCTCCCCCAGCATCATAATTTCCCCCACCCATGACTGCATCATTTCAATCTTGACTCTCTTAATCAATTCTCTGTTTAGCAATCAGCATGCTGTCTATTAAATCAGAACATTTTACTTACACCTCATCATCTTCCAATGGCTTTCCTTCATACTTGGGATAGCATTCAAACTCCTTCACCTAGCTTGCAAAGTCCTCTAGTTTGGATGTTATCCCAAGTACAAAGGAAAGCTATTGGAGGATGATTTGCACTAAGTTTAGAAAAAAATCTGCATCTATAGTAAATAAAACAGCAGAGCTATGCATGGTGGCACTCACCTGGTCTGGCTCCTACCTTTCTATTGAAATTCATCTTGCACCACACTCCCTCTGTTCACTATATTCTGGCACAGTGGTCTTGTGAAACTTACCAAACTTCTCCCCACCCTTATGGCTTTATTCCAGTTTTTCTATCCACTTGTAAGGTTCTTTCGATGATATTCATATGAGTGTCTCCCTTGAATATGGAAATTCATATATTGGCTCAAGGCCAAGTTCGGAGAGAAGTTTCCATTGACCGTCCAATCCAAAGGAGGAAATCTCCATCATATCTCATTATTTTTTAATTTTTAGTATACCACTTATCATACAGTGGGTGATATCGTTTTTACATATTATTTGTCAATTTTTATCTTTTCCTGCTAAACTTTTACTCCATTATAGCATAAGTTTTCCTCTTCTATAAATCCATAGCACTGTATCCTTCATACATAGAACAGTACTTTATATTAGACATTCACTAAATATTAATGAATGAATGTTGAATGAATGACTGAATGGGAAGCCTTCTAATCTACTTCTTTTTTTTTTTTTTTCTTTTTGAAAGTCTTGCTTTGTCGCCCAGGCTGGAGTGCAGTGGCGCGATCTCGGCTCACTGCAAGCTCCGCCTCCCGGGTTCACGCCATTCTCCTGCCTCAGCCTCCGGAGTAGCTGAGACAACAGGCGCCCGCCGCCACGCCCGGCTAATTTTTTGTACTTTTAGTAGAGACGGGGTTTCACCGTGTAAGTCAGGATGGTCTCAATCTTCTGACCTCGTGATCCGTTCGCCTTGGTCTCCCAAAGTGCTGGGATTACAGGCTTGAGCCACTGCGCCTGGCCACCTTCTACTGTACTTCTAACAAAGTCCTATAAAGGTAAGTCAGCCTTCTTGTTAAGACATACGTTCCATTGCCTTGTTTAAACAAATTAATATGATTTTTTAACGTACACTGTATGTATTTTAAAGTCACTGTGGCAAGAGAAAGATGGCTTTCCATTTAGCTCTCTCTAAACTTTAACTCGACAAAATGAATCACATGCGGTCATTGGAATGATAATTAGTGGAATTATTAGATCCACATTTGATCATTACCACAACTAGAATGTGTGTTCACTAAACAGTGAATAACCAGGCCTTCCTTATTCTGTGCTATAGTTGTAAAAAGAAACCAAAGGTAAGTCTTCTATCCTTTTTAGTGCATAATAATAATAATACAAATATTCTAGATATATAATAATAGCTAGAAGGGTGGATTCCTGTCTTTTCCACCTAGGTGTTAAGGACAAAAAGTAACTTGAGATATTGGGGCCACCACAGAACTTTCCCCTTTTACCCAGGGAAAGTAAGTCTCCACATATTTGTCACCTCTCCATCTGTAACACATCTTTAATGGGTCACATTTTATATTCCCTTCAGCTGAGTCTAGAAATGATTAGTTATTTAAATCATTCCAAGGCTACTGTTAAGTAAAAATATTTAAATATGGAACAGATGTTCAAGTATTGAGGCAATGAAGATATTATTTAGGGCAGCTGAAAAGTAGATACAAGGGTAGGGGCGATCAATTCATGATGCTCAGCACCTGCAGCCAAAGTGACTACAGCGAGAAGCAGCAGCAGGTTATAGGTGTCGAAGGTTTGGGAGCCTCTGCCATTTT